GAAGTCGGCTTTAGCAAAGGTGTGATCAAGTCGATATGGGTACTTGAAATGAGGATAATAACAATTAGGACACTGATGAAGAGTCTCCTTCAATTGCAAAGTACGGACATGATTGAGAAGAAAGCAAACAATGTCCTGGTCTTTGAAACCTTGATCAAGTCGACAGATACCATCTCTGCTTCAAAGCGGTGCCGCTCAACACGATGCTGCTTTCCTTTGTGGATGACAGGACCATTCTGGCCCAATCCAAACAACTTGATGATAACAATGTGGGCCTGCGTAAGGCCTACAAAATTATCTACCTTCTCTTTGTTGCTTTCACACTCATTCTTGAACATGACAAGACTGAGCTGTTCCATTTTTTGCATCGACGAGATGCCTACAATCCCTCGCTGGACCTGGGGTACACCCCTCATACCGGCGCTACACCTTTGAAGCCCAAGACCTACTGGAGGCACCTGGGCTTCTACTTTGACCATGGGCTCATGTTTCATGAGCATGTCCACTACTATGCCACCAAGGCATTTACCACTGTGCAGGCCATGCGCATGCTCGGAAACTCTACCAGAGGTCTCTCGCCTAAACAGTGCCACCTCTTATATAGATCGTGTGTGGTTCCCATTGCCACATACAGTTATCGTCTCTGGTATTTCGACGGCGCCCATAATAAGGGTGCGATGAACCAGCTAAAATGGATGCAGTGAAAAGCTGCTCTATGGATCACAGGTGCTTTCCACACCTCACCTACAGGTGGTCTTGAGGCCCTTGCTGGTCTCATCCCCGTCCACCTTATGCTGAAGAAGTTGGCAACATGCGCAGTGTACCGTGTCACCACCCTCTCGGACACCCACCCTCTTCGCTCCATGTTGGGCAAAGGACTCCTCAAGCGGGCCGTGCCTCATGCCTGCTCAGCCGCCTTGATGACCCCAGCTATGCGAGGGAAGGTCAAGAGCACCGTCATGGAGGTGGATGAGCGTGTCCACACCTTAACTGAGAGCTTTGAGCCCTTTGCGCCTGAAGCTCGCCCAGGCGATTGGTTACTGGACCACTATGCGGACCGTCTCCACTTTGACAAGCGTGATCCTACCCAGGATAAGCGCCCATATCTTGACAAGCTCATCATGAAAGCGAGGGCCGACCCTTTAACAGTGCTGGCTGCAACTGATGGCTCTGTCCCTCAGTCCAACCAGTATCAGGCGACTTCGGCTGCCATCATCTACAAGGGACATCGCGAGCTCGAAAGGACTTGTTATGTCTCTGGCAGAGTTACCGCCCCAGATGCGGAACTCAGCTCAATGCCATCTCATGTGAGTGCGCCTTGCTGTCAAGCAGGCAAACTGCCAGCATATTATCGTCTTCACTGACTCTATGGGCTCGGCCCATAAAGCGGTAGACCCCTCCATGCACTCTGGCCAGGCTTTCAGTCTGTCAGTTTGTCGTGCTCTCCAAACAGATAACAAGAATGGTGGAGGTGGAATATACAGCTATGTTCCATGGCACTGTACTCTCTGATCCAAAATTGAACATATAGAGCGGACATTGCTGAAGTTTGTTTTCATTGTTGACAAACTCATAATAGGCCTTCACAACCAACTTAAGCCAAGGATCAGCAAGTAAAGACTGGTGGTTCGATAGACCTCCATCCCAGATGTCATCATTGGGTTGTTCATTTCTGAGAAGTTGTTGAATGAAGTTATCCACCTCAAGAACCTGCTGGTTCACAAAGTTGATGTGTTGAGTATCGTTGTAGCACATGCCAATCATCCGAAGAAACTCCTTTTTCTTATTCTCTGACCACAGACCAGATGGAGAAGAATTTGTTGATAGAAGTGGTGGAACAAATCCATAGTACAGCCAAGCTATGTCAAGAATCTCTTCCTGCATTCTATCTGCTCCCAGATTTTGTGCTTCAGCCAGTGGAAAATAGGGATGGGTGTTCATAAAGACGGCGCTCTGCAAAGTTGTCAGATCCTGGTTATGAGCTTCTTGAGGAAGGTATGATTCTTCAGATTCAATGTTGATATGCAAATAAAATTCATTCCATTCTTCTTGAGTAGCAGCAGAAGAGTAATCGTTGGGAGGATCTGGAAGAGAGAAGTGCTTGCTACAATGCCAAGCATTTTCAAAGGCATTGTAGATCTTTTCCTTGACAGAAAAGGTGTCAACAGCAATTCTTCTCATCTCTGGAATAATGCAGGTCCGAATAAAACAATTCTCCTCGTACATAGCCCAAATGTAAATTGTTGCCAATTTGATGGGAGGATTATTAGCTCTGGCTAGACGGACTTGACAATCTAAAGGTTGTTCTCGCTTCTGGCATTCCTTCTCGTATATGGCCTGTCTGCCACAGTATGCATTCCATAATACGTTGAAAGGTTGTGAGGACTTGAAAATTTCTGTATTGTCAAAAAGATTGATTGAATTCTGTTGAAATTTTGGGGCCTGGAAAACAATAGTGTGGGCTTCTTGTAGGAGAATTGCTGGAGGGGCCCAAGGCTCTAGCACTTTATTTGAAGCATGGACGTTTGTCCATTCATACCAGATTGGAACGTCTAATTGCTGAAACCATTCTGGTGAGGGTTGTAATTCTTCTCAAGGAAGATAGATGAATACGCCAGCTTGAGGTATGATATGCTCAAAGGTGCAAACAATTGATTGATACAGAGACTGTAGCCAAGCTTCTGAAAAACCTTTTTTGATGAGGTGGTGGTACCAGTTGTTGATAACTAGAGAAGGAATAGATGAAGATGATTTTGAGACTTCCTTCCACTGCGCCATTGCAACAAGATAGGACACAAAGCCTATCCAAACTCTAAACCAGTCTCTTGAGGCAGATATGGCCTTTTGTGAGGCGTAAAATGATTTGAAGTGGCGATTGTAACCCTGAGTCCATATGCATGGAGGCTGCATTGATGGCAGCCCATACTGTTGTCATAGAGAACTGGCTACTGTGGACAGGTAATGTTCCAGAGCAGCCCAGTGCTCACCATAAGATGGCGGAATAGTGTAGCCTTCTTGCATTAAGACAGGATAAGGCAGGTGGGACAAGACACCAAACAAGTCTCCAGTAAAAACTGGGTGCTGAGGAATGAATGCCATCCATCCCCATCTTAAGTTCCACCACCTGGGTTGCAAGTACCAGGAAGGATTGTCATGTTTTTGCTTGAAGACATTGTTGAACCTTCCTTTGTCAGGATCTGGAGCAGGGAGAGCAACGTCCAAGGTGCTGTTAGGAGAATAAATGATGTGCCCATTTAAAACAAGGACCCTTCCCTGGCTACAACCTGGTTTAGCGGTGGGCAATCAGATATCTCAAGGGCATAGACTGACACAATGGGAATTGGCATGTTAAAGGTCCAAATGTCTGGGGGCTTGAATTGGTTCGGTACCATATTCAAAGCTTGAAAGGAGCTTGCTGATGAATAGAAAGAAGATAGATTGGGCTCAGAGAAGAGTGAATCGGTTTGGTACTGTATCCACTTATCAAATATGCCCTGGAGGGATGAAGAAAGCAGCTAGATGGTAAGAAGATGAGGAAGAGATCAGAAGAAAGCAATTTGCTGGCAATGTAGACAAATGTGTACTTGTATTTGTTGTGCCTCTAAAGCAAACAAAGGACAGTGCAAAGTCCTAAGTGGCTCTGAGGGTTGAAGGCCTTTGCTGATACTTATGTCAGATGAATGAATAAATACATAATGTTCATATTTAACAAAAGAAAAAGCTAGATGAGATACAAGGAGAGGGGGGAGGTCACAGACGCAAAATGAGTGGGAACGACCCCGAACGTTGCAGTTCCGGGCAGTTCGTGCACCAGGGGCGTCATTGGACGGCCCCTGGGGGTGTTGGATGGTGACAGACGGTGGCAGAGGGCAAGGAGGATGAGGGGGTGGTGGTGGGGCAAACCCGGCAGGCAGCAGCAAAAAAACGAGCGGGAACAACCCCGAACGTCACAGTTTGGGGTCATTTGTGCACCAGGGGCATCGTTGGACGGCCCCTGGGGGTGTTGGATGGGCGAGAGGCAGCGGTGGAGGATGAGGAGGGCGAGCGGGTGGTGGTCAGTGCAACACCAGCATTGTTGGATGGCCCCTGCAGGCACTAGATGGCGGGAGGAGCCCACTGACAGCAAAGTCACCAGAGGTGGTCAGAGCGCACAGGCCAGTGGTCCAAAGTTGACATGTGCATCATTTGTTTGGCTCTCTACAACCACTTGTGACATTTGTGCAGCCCCTTCTTCTTTCACAACCGCCATCATCTGGACTCCTCCAGGCACTTTTCCTAGTGCCTTCACCCTTTGTGGGTTCTTCCGATATTGTAGCGCTAGACGGGGGCACAGGACTGACTCGGCCACTGGCTTAGCATTACTAAACAGCCACTACTTATCAAACCCTGTTATATCTGGTACAATGGCTTCTCCAGCCTCTTCTTTGGTGGTCTATCCCTTTGTTGGGCCCTCTATGAATCTTCAGGGAGCGCTCTCCAAGGGTGGTTCGAGGCGGATGATCTCCGCCGCATCACCTTTGTCTATGTTCCATCTGCTTTGCGGTGGGATATCCATGGTGAGGCACACAAGTATGTCACCAAACTTAGGGTCAGGGTTGGACATTGCAAGACGGACAACTCTATAGACGTGCTTCACTCCAAAGCTGCGCGCTCAGTCCTAGACTTGTGGAGCTCCACTTTCCAGGATCCAACTTACCAAGGCTCTGAATTTTTAGAGCTTCAACAGCCTGACAGGCGGCCGCTACAGCCATCGTACCTCAATGAGGGACCTTGGCTTTCAACTTTCAGACACAGTATCACTGAGTTCACCCGTGTCTGCCGGTGTATAACTGGCCACATGCCCATTGGAGCATATTACCGTCACTTCAAGATCAATGAGCCTCATGGCTGCACTTGCAGGGCTGCCTTGCAGTCCCATCAGCACGTCCTCTTTCGCTGTCACGATAGATACTCTGTACACTATCCCTGTTTTCTTGGGGATATTGCATCATTTATGAAGTACAAAAGTACAACCCTACAGTGTGTGGCTTCAACCGAGACCCTTCGGGGGTCAGATGATCATTGTGGGTGGGGTTATTCCTCCTCTTGGAGGATCTATCGGTGAATTGACCCCCTCAAACCTTAGGGTTCGGAGACCTGCACCTGTAACTATTTCTTTGTGCTTGCGGTCTGCTATTATAGCAGGTTGCGGTGCTGCTAACATTCTGCGTCTGGTTTCGGGCAGGCGCATCTTTGGCTTGTCGGCCTCAAGACACCCTGCCACCTCCCGGGTGGTGCTGGTCTTATCTCATTTGCGCTGCGTGGCCTCCGAACAGTGTCTGATGGCTCTGGGGTTTAGTGGGGCCTCGATGGTCTCTTCCCCTTATCCCATGTCACCGTTTTCGCGAGGTGGGTCTGGCTTTGTGTGAGCTCCAGCATTTGAGCACAAGGCTGTGGTTGGGGGGGCGGATGTCCTTTAGTGGTTAACTTAGTACCCAGGCTGTGTAGTGTACGTGTTTGTAGATAGCGAGCGGGCTGCCATCGAGCACCGCCATATAAATTGTTGATAAAAAAAAAAAAAAAAAAAAAAAGAATCTTCAGGGACCCTCAGACCCCAGATTTGTTGTCCCTAATGGCACACTTATATCCTCGCCTTCCTGCCATGCCAATTTTCCTTATATTTATGAAGTACCAGATCATCCACTCATCCTACACCGGCAGTATGTCAAGAGAATTCTGGTTTACATTCAAGACACATCTGATGAAGCCCTCCACTCTATGTACAGTTGGGAAAATAAATTATATGTGCCTCTTGGACCTGATAACCTTATGAAACGATATGGTATGCTCTAATTATGCTGTTATTTTTGTCTCAGTCATTAACACCTAATTGTCAGGACTATTTCGTATCACCGATGGCACTATTATATATGCTAGACTTGGTATTGTGGGCCATTGCTTTGCATGGCAATTACGAGTTCATTTTTGTCTCATATCTTTAGCTGTCCTATTTATTCTTTTATTAATTCTTCTGCACTCTAAGAAATGGGGCAAGTTTGATATTCTGACTGAGGAATCAACTACTGTACATGGGTATTTATGCCATGTAGAATAACATACTATGATTATATAATAGATAACTCAGCCAAGACAATAAGAACAATGAAGAACAATAGAACAATGGCTTGGAGGCACAATGGGATGAGCTAGAGACATGGCACATGTCAGAAGCATTCTGGAAGCTCAGAGCTCATTCCTGGATGTCTAAGAAGCATCTGAAAAGTGCACAGCTCAATACCATGAGCCTCAGAAGCCAGATAACAGCCTTGGAAGTTGCATAATTGAGCCAGGAGCAGGAGATGGGTTGTGACAAATGCTGGCATATTTCAATTATTTCTGGGCCATTTTAATTTTAATTTCAAAATATCATAAATCATGAAATATTCATAACTCTCAGTAGAGGTCTTGAACATGGGAAAATTCCAGGATTTGGTAGATCTACAGTCAAATTAATGCTTCATACCCCTAAAAATATGAAAATGTGGCTTCACTGGCCTCTCTCCCAGACATCCCCTAGCTAAAACAAATCTGCATTAATGAGGAGTCATAATGTTCAGTTACATTGGTCCCCAAATATCAGTATCGTGCACAGAATTGTGTGCACAATTGACTAAATAGTGCTGATTTCTAAAAATAGCTGAAAATGTGTACTCAAATCTCTACCCCTGGCAAGGACCAGAGCACTGGAACACCTTGGCAGCATTATATAGGATACAGAAGGTCTTTAGCAAATGTAGAGTTCATAGATGCACATTGATTATTCATGGCTGCATATTTAAATTACTGGTTTGCACCAAAAAACCCAAAAATGCACATATTGCAATATCTTGGCACTCGGATTATTGACAGACCTGAAAGTCAGTACAGATGTATATCTAATATGGTTGATAATAGCCTCAAATTTATAGACTGATAGTATTAGTAGGTGTTGAGATATAGAGGTGCGGGTTTTTTGCATTTAAAACAATGCGCATATCACAATATCTTGGCATCAAGACAATCAACAGTCCTGAAAACTTGTACACACGTAGATATAATATAGGTGATGTTGGCCTCAAAATTATAGACCTGTAGCATCAGTAGGTGTTGAGATATGGAGGTGCGGGTTTGCTGCATTTAAAACATGCAATATCTCATGCCACAGCACCCCTGAAAATCTGAAATTTATTATGTAAGCTTCTCTGAACATCGCCTCATGGTGTATAAAATTTCAGAGCTGTAGCTGCAGCTGTTGCAGAGATATAGAGAGACTGTTTCTGTAGTAGAAGAACATGTGACTTGCTAGGTCATGTGAGCAGAGTTTGACAGCTATGACACACAAAAACTCCTGGAGAGTTTTTGTGCGTCATATGTTTGGCTAAACAAACAAAGCCACCACAGCCACTCACCTCATCTTGCAAATTCCATATCTCTGTCAATTCTTATTCAATTCTCATGAAATAACTTGTGCAATTAATGTAAAATACAGGAGAAAAATACAGTACCCATAAATATAATGTAGAGTATGTGAATACTATGTCATTTGTAGACAGTAATATTTCTATAGAGGTAAGTGATCAGGTGACTTGTGCTGGCCATAATCGCATGCTACATCATCACTTTCTTTCTTCTGCTGCTACTATCACCATTCCTCCTCTCCCTCTTCTACTATAGATACCTACACCATGCACCTGTGCCTTCTAATGAGGGTCAGAGCACATTTTGAAGGGCTGAATGGAGGAGGAGAAAGACAAAGGGAGACCCAAGTAGCTGGAGACCCGAGTAGCCGGAGACTGAACACCCAACGCAGTGAGTGAGTGACTACCTCTTCTTCCACTCTTCCTTACTCACCTGCTAGTTCTCTGTTGCATCACACAAGTTGATAATAGGCCCCATGCCTTGATGCTGGCCTGCTGATTCAACATTAGCCACAGTAACTGGAAGCCGCTCCCTCATGGCTCAATGTCAGTTCCCCACAACTCAATATCAGCTCCAACAACTCAATGACCGCCTCCACAGATCAATGTCAGGTCCAACATCTCCATGGCCATGCCCTCCAATGAGGGTTATGGAAGAGCTGGATGGAGAGAAGGACCACAAGGGAGACCTGAGCAGTGGGAGACCCAGCATAGTGTGTCACTGACCCTAATCCCTCCTTCCATTACTTACTCCACCCCACCAGTTCATCATCATGTTGTGCGACTTGATGACAGCCTCCACAAGTCAACAACAACCACCTCTGTGACTCAACAACAGTGTTCTCTCATTCATACTCATGACTTGGCCTTTGCTTTCTGGAACATGTATTTCACATAATTATTCTCAATATATATCTATTCTATTTCATGATGTTCTGAAAGTGAAATTTTTTAGAGGATGAGAGCTTCAGCATCATTTGCTGTCATCAGGGCTCTTCAGGGGCTGTTTGGATGGGCAAGGAGTGTCAGAGGGGCAAGAAGAGGGGGCTGGTGGTGGCAGAAGATGAGAGGGAGGGGGGAAGGGTGAGAAGGGGTGGATAGGGCACAGAACGACTGTGAATGCTGCTGAATGTCCAAGTTTGGTGTCGTTCATCATCCTGGATGGCTGTTTGTGCGGGGGTGTTGGAAGGGTGAGAAGTGGTGGTGGTGGGGGTGGAAGGTGAGAGGCAGGTGGTGCTGGGTGGGCAGGTGGGCAGGACAGAGAACGAGTGCAAACAACACCCAACCTCCGTGTTCGGTGTTGTTCATCATCTTTGGGGGCTGTTTGGATGGGCAAGGCACATTGGAAGGGTGAGAGGAGGGAGTGGTGGTGGTGGAAGACGAGAGCAAGGGTAGGAGGGCAAGAAGGGGTGCATTGGTTTGCCATCATTCTTTGTTTTTGAGGCCTGTTGGGAGGGGCAAGAGGCAGAGGGTGAGCAGGGTGAGCAGGTGGTCATGGGGTGAGAGGGGCAGGCAGCGGTGGCTGAACAAGTGTGAATGGTGCTGAACTGTTAAGTCCAGGATCATTTGGGCACCAGGGCTTGTTGTTGGATGGTGCTGGGGGTTAGATTGGAAGGGCAAAAGAGGGCTGCAGTGAGCAAGGGAGGTTGGTGATTTTGATTTTGCAGAGGGCAAGAAGAGCATTACTACAATAGCCAGTAAAAATGTAGTGAACTATTGAAAATGTAGCTATGCCATCAATGTAATACTTACTGTGGGAAAAAAAGCATGGATGACTGTAACATGGGAAAGTAAAATGATCTCTGTGTCCCAGGTTGAAAGAACAAGTCTTACTTATGTAAGAACTCATAACCTATTGGAAATGTTGAATCTGAAAAGGATCTAATTGTTGCATGGTGTTTTGATGGGTAAATTATGTTCTTTTCTTTTAAGAGATGATTCTGACACCATATATCTTAGTATGAGGCTACTCAACCAGACTCTCAGAGAGGACCTCCTCCGTCTCTGTGATGAGATTATGGGGGACAAAAGCTAGGTCACTCTGGACAGGCCTATTATGATCAATGGTGTATTGGTGGGAGGAACTGGCTTTGAACACCGGGGTATCAATCCTGGTGTGAAGGATTTACGATGCTTTGGTATAAGCATGTCGCACCAACATTCACCCAACATTGTGGGACCTGCAGCTAGTAGTAAAATCTATAATGGAGAGCTGACACCAAATGAAAAAATCTGTCAAAAAATTGCAAAGGTAAGATTTTGTGATTGTAAAAGAACACAAGTCTGAATTTGTTAAATCTATGGCAGCTATGTGCCACAGTCTCAATGATGTCAATGAGAATGTATGCACCAGCTGAAATGCTAGAAATTCTGGAAGAACATTCTTGTTACCACAACGTACCTAGGATTGGTATCAAAGATAACTTTGCCTTTCCTGCAATGCAACTCAATATAGCACCAGCTGTAAGCTATGAAGAATGCACTGGTAAGTTTGTGTTAGATATCTAAGAGGCTTATTTTTTTTTTTTTTTTTTTATCAACAATTTATATAGCGGTGCTCGATGGCAGCCCGCTCGCTATCTACAAACATGTACACTACGTGGCCTGGGTACTAAGTAAACTACTAAAAGACGTCTGCCCCCCCAACCACGAGCCTTGTGGCTCAAACACCTAAACTCCTACAAAGCCAGACCCACCTTGCAAAAATGGTGATGCAGGATAAGAGGAAGAGACTATCGAGGCCCCGCTAAACCCCAGAGTCGTTGAACGCTGTTCGGAGGCCACACAGTGCAAATGAGATAAAACAGCACCACCTGGGAGGTGGCAGGGTGTCTTGAGGCCAACAAGGCAAAGATGTGCCTGGCTGAAACCAGACGCAGAGAGTCAGCAGTGTTGTGATCGACCAAGAAAGTCGACCACCTGCACGAAAGAGGTGTCGCAGGCATGGGTCGTCGAACCCTAAGGTCTGTGGTGTCAATTCACCCTAAATCCCCCAAAAGGAGGAATAACCCCGCCCACGGTGATCATCCGACACCCAAAGGGTCTCGGTTGAAGCCAAACGCCATGGGGTTGTACTTCAGAAACGATGCAATATCCCTGAGAAAACGGGGATAGTGTACAGAGTATCTATTGCAGCAGCGAAAGAGAACGTGCTGGCAAGACTGCAAGGCAGCCCTGCAAGTGCAGCTGTGAGGCTCATTAATCTTGAAGTGATGATAGTACGCTCCAATGGGCACATGGCCAGTTATACACTGGCAAACGTGAGCGAACTCAGTAATACTGTGTCCAAATGTTGAAAGCCAAGGTCCTCCATTGAGGTACAATGGCTGAAGCGGCCGCCCGTCAGGCTGTTGAAGCTCTAAAAATTCAGAGCCTCGGTAGGTTGGGTCCTGGAAAGTGGAATTCCACGAATCCAGGACTGAGTGTGCAGCTTGAGAGCGGAGCGCGTCGATGGAATTGTCCATCTTGCAACGTCCAATTCTGACCTTAAGTTCGGTGACGTACCTGTGTGCCTCACCATGAAGTCCCACCGCAAAGCAGATGGGACATAGACAAAGGTGATGCGGTGGAGATCATCTGCCTTGAACCACTCCTGCAGGGCTCAGCTCTCTCGCCTGTTATCTCTGGGCTGTTCATTGCTCCAGTAATGAAGCTCTTCTATATCAAAGCAGCACCGCTCAACATGACGCTACTTTCTTTTGTGGACGATGGGACCATCCTGGCTCAATCCAAACAACTCGATGATAATAATGTGGGCCTGCGTAAGGCCTACAAGATTATCTACCTTCTCTTTGTTGCTTTCGCACTCGTCCTTGAACATGACAAGACTGAGCTGTTCCACTTTTTGTGTCAACAAGACACCTACAATCCCTCACTGGATTTGGGGTATGCCCCGCATACTGGCGCTACACCTTTGAAGCCCAAGACCTATTGGAGGTACTTGGGCTTCTACTTTGACCACGGGCTCACATTTCATGAGCATGTTGAATACTATGCCACTAAGGCATTTACCACTGTGCAGGCCATGCGCATGCTCGGAAACTCTACCAGAGGTCTTTCGTCTAAACAGCAGTGCCTCCTCTATAGATTGTGTGTGATCTCCATTGCCACGCACAGATATCGTCTCTGGTACTTTGATGGCGCCTGTAACAAGGGTGCCATGAACCAGCTCAAACAGATGCAGCGAAAAGCTGCTCTATGGATCACGGGTGCTTTCCGCACCTCACCTACAGGCGGTCTTGAGGCCTTAGCAGGTCTCATTCCCGTCCACCTTATGCTGAAGAAGTTGGCAACACGCGCAGTGTATCGCGTAGCCACACTCTCAGACACCCATCCTCTTCACTCCATGATGGGCAAGGGACTCCTCAAGCGGGCTGAACCACATGCCCGCTCTGCTGCCTTGATGACCCCAGCCATGCAAGGGAAAGTCAAGAGCACCGTTATGGAGGTGGACGAGCGCGTCCACACCTTAACTGAGAGCTTTGAGCCTTTTGCACCTGAAGCTCGCCCAGGTGATCGGTTACTGGACCGCTATGCGGACTGTCTCCATTTTGACGAGCGCGATCCTACCCAGGATAAGCGACCATATCTCGACGAGCTCATTGCGAAAGCAAGGGCCGATCCTTTAACAGTACTGGCTGTGACTGACGGCTCTCCTCAGTCCAACCAGTATCAGGTGGCTTCAGCTGCCATCGTCTACAAGGGACATTGCGAGCTCAAGAGGACTCGCTACGTCTCTGGCAGAGTTACCGCCCCAGATGCGGAACTCAATGCCATCGCGTGTGCAGTGCGCCTTGCTGTCAAGCAGGCAGACTGCCAACATATTATGGTCTTTACTGACTCCATGGGCTCAGCCCACAGAGCGGTGGACCCTTCCATACACTCTGGCCAGGCTTTTAGTCTGTCGGTGTGTCACGCTCTTCAAGAGTGGTTCGAGGCGGATGATCTCCGCCGCATCACCTTTGTCTACATTCCATCTGCTTTGCAGTGGGATATCCATGGTGAGGCACATAAGTATGTCACCGAACTTAAGGTCAGGGTTGGATGTCGCAAGACAGACAACTCTATAGACGTGCTTCGCTCCAAAGCTGCGCGCTCAGTCCTAGACTTGTGGAGCTCCACTTTCCAGGATCCAACTTACCAAGGCTCTGAATTCTTAGAGCTTCAACAGCCTGACGGGCAGCCGCTTCAGCCATTGTACCTCAATGGAGGACCTTGGCTTTCAACATTCGGACACAGTATTACTGAGTTCACTCATGTTTGCCTGTGTGTAACTGGCCATGCGCCCATTGGAGCGTACTACCCTCACTTCAAGATCAATGAGCCTCATGGCTGCACTTGCGGAGCTGCTTTGCAGTCTTGCCAGCACATCCTCTTTCGCTGTCGCGATCAATATTCTGTACACTATCCCTGTTTCCTCGGGGATATTGCATCGTTTCTGAAGTACAACCCCATGGTGTTTGGCTTCAACCGAGACCCCTCGGGTGTCGGATAATCACTTCAGGCGGGGTTATTCCTCCTTTTGGAGGATTTATCGGTGAATTGACACCCTCGACCCTTAGGGTTCAGAGACCTGCACCCGTTTCACTTTTTCATGCTTGCAGCCGCTATCATAGCGGCTTGCGGCGCCACTAACTTTCTGTGTCTGGTTTTGGGCAGGCGCTTCTCTGGCTTGTCGGCCTCAAGACACCCTGCCACCTCCTGGGTGGTGCTTTTCTTATCTCATTTGTGCTGCATGGCCTCCGAACAGCGATTGATGATTTTGGGGCATAGCAGAACCTCGATGGTTTCCTCCCCTTATCCTGATGCACTGTTTTCACGAGGTGGGTTGCCCTCTGGGGAGTTTTGGCATTTGAGCCCAAAGGGTCTTGGTTGGGGGGGCAGTCGTCCTTTAGTGGTTAACTTAGTAACCAGGCTGTGTAGCGTACGTGTTTGTAGATAGCGAGCAGGCTGCCATTGAGCACCGCTATATAAATTGTTGATAAAAAATAAAAATAAAAAATAAAAAACCACTCCTGGAGAGCGTGACCAACTGACAGACTGAAAGCCTGGCCAGAGTGCATGGAGGGGTCAACTGCTGTATGGGCCGAGCCCATAGAGTCAGTAAAGACCATAATATGCTGGCAGTTTGCCTGCTTGACAGCAAGGCACACTGCGCATGCAATGGCATTGAGTTCCGCATCTAGGGCGGTAACTCTGCCAGAGACATAGCGAGTCCTTTTGAGCTTGCGATGTCCCTTGTAGATGATGGCAGCCGAAGCTGTCTGATACTGGTTGGACTGAGGGACAGAGCCATCAGTTGCAGCCAGTACTGCTAAAGGATCGGCCCTCGCTTTGGCAATGAGCTCGTCAAGATATGGGCGCCTATCCTGGGTAGGATCACGCTCGTTGAAGTGGAGACAGTCCACAAAGCGGTCCAGTAACCAATCGCCTGGGCGAGCCTCGGGCGCATGGGGCTCAAAGGTCTCAGTTAAGGTGTGGACATGCTCGTCCACCTCCATGATCATGCTCTTTACTTTCCCTCGCATAGCTGGGGTCATCAAGGCAGCTGAGCGGGCATGTGGTTTTTTTTTTTTTTTTTTTTTTTTTATTTTTTATCAACAATTTATATAGCGGTGCTCAATGGCAGCCCGCTCGCTATCTACAAACACGTACACTACACAGCCTGGTTACTAAGTTAACCACTAAAGGACGACTGCCCCCCCAACCAAGACCCTTTGGGCTCAAATGCCAAAACTCCCCAGAGGGCAACCCACCTCGCGAAAACAGTGCATCGGGATAAGGGGAGGAAACCATCGAGGTTCTGCTATGCCCCAAAATCATCAATCGCTGTTCGGAGGCCATGCAGCACAAATGAGATAAGAAAAGCACCACCCAGGAGGTGGCAGGGTGTCTTGAGGCCGACAAGCCAGAGAAGCGCCTGCCTGAAACCAGATGCAGAAAGTTAGCGGCGCCGCAACCCGCTATGATAGTGGCCGCAAGCACGAAAAAGTGAAGCTGGCATGGGTCGCTGAACCCTTAGGTTCGTGGTGTTAAATCACCCTAAATCCCCCAAAAGGAGGAATAACCCTGCCCGCAACGATTACCTGACACCTGAAGGGTCCTGGTTGAAGCCAAACACTGTGGGGTTGTACTTTAGAAACGATGCAATATCCCTGAGAAAACGGGGATAGTGTACAGAATATCTATCGTGGCAGCGAAAGAGGATGTGCTGGCAAGACTGCAAGGCAGCCCCGCAAGTGCAGCCATGAGGCTCATTGATCTTGAAGCGACGGTAGTACGCTCCAATGGGTGTGTGGCCAGTTATACACCGGCACACGTGAGCGAACTCAGTGATACTGTGTCCGAAAGTTGAAAGCCACGGTCCCCCATTGAGGTACGATGGCTGTAGCGGCCACCCGTCAGGCTGTTGAAGCTCTAAGAATTCAGAGCCTCAATAAGTTGGATCCTGGAAAGTGGAATTCCATGAATCCAGGACTGAATGGGCAGCTCGAGAGCGAAGTGCGTCTATAGAATTGTCCGTCTTCCGACATCCAACCCTGACTTTAAGCTTGGTGACATACTTGTGTGCCTCACCATGGATATCCCACTGCAGAGCAGACGGAACATAGACAAAGGTGATGCGGAGGAGGTCATCTGCTTCAAACCACTCTTGGAGAGCGCGACAAACTGACAAGCTAAAAGCCTGACCAGAATGCACGGAAGGGTCGACCGCTCTATGGGCCGAGCCCATAGAGTCAGTAAAGACCATAATATGCTGGCAGTTTGCCTGCTTGACAGCAAGGCACACTGCACACGAGATGGCATTGAGTTCCGCATCAGGGGCGGTAACTCTGCCAGAGACATAGCGAGTCCTTTCCAGCTTGCGATGTCCCTTGTAGATGATGGCAGCCGAAGTCGCCTGATACTGGTTGGACTGAGGGACAGAGCCATCAGTTGCAGCCAGTACTGTTAGAGGGTTGGCCCTCGCTTTCGCGATGAGCTGGTCGAGATAAGGGCGCCTATCCTGAGTAGGATCGCACTCGTCAAAGTGGAGATGGTCCGCATAGTGGTCCAGTAACCGATCACCTGGGTGAGCTTTGGGCGCAAAGGGCTCAAAGCTCTCAGTTAAGGTGTGGATGCGCTCGTCCACCTCCATGACAGTGCTCTTGACCTGCCCTTGCATAGCTGGGGTCATCAAGGCGGCTGAGCGGGCGTGTGGTGCAGCCCGCTTAAGGAGTCCCTCGCCCATCATGGAGCAAAGAGGGTGGGTGTCCGAGAGGGTGGCAACACGGTACACTGCGCACGTTGCCAGCTTCTTCAGCATAAGATGGAGGGGGATGAGGCCAGCGAGGGCCTCGAGACTGCCTGTGGGGGAGGTGCGGAAAGCACCTGTGATCCATAGAGCAGCTTTTCGCTGCATCCGTTTTAACTGGTTCATCGCGCCCTTATTGCGGGCGCCATCAAAATACCATAGATGATAGCCATATGTGGCAATGGGGACCTCACACGACCGGTATAAGAGGCGGCGCTGTTTAGGCAAAAGACCTCTAGTGGAGTTCCCGAGCATGCGCATGGCCTGCACAGTGGTAAACGCCTTGGTGGCATAGTAGCGAACGTGCTCATGGAACGTGAGCCCGCGGTCAAAGTAGAAGCCCAAGTACCTCCAATAGGTCTTGGGCTTCAAGGGTGTAACACCGGTATGTGGGGCGTACCCCAAATCCAGCGAGGGATTGTAGGCGTCTCGTCGACACGAAAAGTGGAACAACTCGGTCTTGTTGTGTTCAAGAACGAGCGCGAAAGCAACAAAGAGCAGGTAGATAATCTTGTAGGCCTTACGCAGGCCCACATTATTATCATCGAGTTGTTTGGATTGAGCCGGGATGGTCCCGTCATCCACAAAGGAAAGCAGCATTGTGTTGAGCGGCGCCGCCTTGATATAGAAGAGCTTCATTACCGGAGCAATGAACAGCCCATAGATAACAGGTGATAGAGCTGAGCCCTGCCTGACGCCCACGTCCGCAGACCGCGAGTTGGATTGGAAGGTGTTCCAACAGTAAACTGTGGAATGTCCAACAAGATAAGAGGCAAAGAACTCCACCAGAACCGGTGAGAACCCTTGCTTGCGAAGTACAGCCATGAACATCTCATGGTTGATAGAAGGGAAGAACTGCGTGATGTCAAAAGCCAGCGCGCTAGTCTGGAGACCCTTAACCCACCCTGCTCGCATGAGATGAGTCAGAATCAATCCAGCATCCTCAGTTGACCTCTGGCGGATGCCGCCAAGTTGGTTGGGATGGAAGATATCATGCTTGACAGCATCAAACTGTATCCTATTGGCAATCATCTTTTCAATAAGTTTACCAAAAGTGATGAGGAGTACGATCAGCCAAAAAACCTTCGGCACGGAGTAGGAGGGCTTATTCGGCTTTGGAACAATAACCGATAGCGACTCCTTAAATATACGCGGCCAACGACCCACTCGAAGGCAAGCATTAGCCAACACGATGAAGAGCGCAAGGACGTGTTTATCCTTGAGCAGCTCCTTTAGGTGGACCCATGTAACATGGTCCGGTCCTGGTGCAGAGGAGTTGGAGCACCCCTTAAGGGCACTCAACAACTCATGCTCTGAGAAGTCAGCCCACTCACGGACCGGCTCGTCGGGAAGCTTGTCTAAGACTGAGGCATCGTACTCGCGACCAGAGGCCGAGTTGTACGTACCGTGAAGGGCGTCCCAAAGGTCGTCCATATCGTGGCAAGGCTGTTCACCATTGCGAATAGCCTCACATGGTGGAAGCTTGCGCTGTTTGACCCATTCCATTAGGTCCCATGGGCGCTTGCGAGAAGTAGCAATCTCTGCGATGCGTTCATCAAAGAAATGACGTTTGGCGTCCTTACACGCCTTCTTAAACTTGTTATAATCAGCGAGCGAACAGCTCAACTGATATACTCCGAATGTCTCCGAGCACTCTTCTGTCCACCAGGACTTGGAGCGCTTGGTAGGTTTGGACTCGGTCGAATGGACAAGCCATGCGTCCGAGAATGCTGTCGCGATAGCATCAGCTAAAGCTTCAACGCCTTCCTTGGTTGCCGGGGCTGCGACAGGAATAGCCGCAAGATCCCGGAGAATATCCAAAATGAAAGACTTCTCAGCCTCGCTTCCGGGTTTAATTGTCCGTCGCCCAGATCCAGGCGGTTCGGGACCGATATCAAGATCTGTACAGATCGGGACATGATCTGACGGACCCTGGAGAGTGTGCTCCAATCTGGGCATCGAGATTAGAATCTCAGATGGAGCTAAGAATACAAGATCCAACACGTTGGATCTCTGGTTTGGATTAGGACTGATCCTCATCGGTCCATGATTAGAAGGTCGTGCCCACTCGAGGCCGATCTGAGATGTGGTATCCCGCAATGATATTGCCGTCGACGACTCACCATGCTCATAGTCATCCCAAGTCGTCGACACGCAGTTAAAGTCACCAGCCATGTAAATGAAAGGTGGTAAAGAGTGCACACGAGCAGCTAGGTGCTCAATGGCTGTGTGTTGATCGTCAGAGTAGACGTTCATTAGATTAAGAACCTCACCCCCGCTGAAGAGGGAGAGGACGAGGATGTCACGATGGTCGACGATGTCACGACGCATAGCGGGACGATAGCAGGAGAGCCTAGTCGAAACATAGGCGATCACGTGGGGAACTTCCCCTTCCTTAATGCGCACCATTTGCAGCCAGTCGGGATGCTTTGGTGCGCCGATAACCTCATCGCCCTCCATACTAGTGGTGGACGGTGCGTGTCTTATGAAATTCCAAGGCGTTTCTTGGAAGAATAAAATATCAAATCTGTTTTTACAAATTTCGAGAAGAATGTCTACGTGTGCATAAGTGTGACGAACGTTCTGACAGTAAATATGTAGCCCGCTATTTAGATCCTGCTGGTTTCCCAACATTAGTCTAGGTTCGGGGGTTAGTAAGTTGGCAGCGAGCAGCGTGCTCATGTACCTGACGATACTCGGCCATGATCCACTCACGGTCGTAGCGATGGGCCCAGAACTTGCACGAAGCTGAGTTGGCGGCGTGGTCCTTGTGGCAATTGACGCAGCGGCCCTTGTGGGGGCAGGGCTGGTCGCGAGGGGTGGGCGGCACAGGGGGTTTCGCTTTCGCGTTGCCCTTGCAGCATCCCGCATGTTGACGATGCTCCTTCTGCTCGTGTGGACCCGAACAGATGGGGCAAGAGAGTTGTTTCGCCTTACAAGCGACAGTGGGGTGGCCCCACTTCCAGCAACGCTGGCAAAGCGGGACCCTGGTGTGACGTGCAGCGGGCCTGATTGCGCAGGACCGTCCAGCGAGGAAAATCGGTTGGCCTAAAGCCTTCTTGGCACGGGTTCCCTGCTGGGAGTCCCAGATGTTGCAGTACACGGTGCACGATGTCGAGTGCGCCGAGTTGCGGTCGATCCGAGGCTTGGTGCTCAGATATGCGAAGACCTCAGCATGAACCGAGGTACGGAGGGCCTTCTCAAGCACCTCCTGGGTGATCTTCAACCCTTTTGGATCGAAGTAAGGAACATCGAGTATCTTTATGAAAGATGTCGACGACGGGAGCGCAACCTCAAACGGGGTACCCGTTGGGAGGCTTTCGCGGATAAAGTTACGCAGTATGTCCAGATCAGACAGACTGGCAACAGCGGGGGTGACCAACGACAAACCGTGTAGGTGCAGATGATGGAGGTGACCTTCAGCATAGATCAACCATCCCTGAGGTATCCGTTGGCTGCACGAACAGCCGACTCGGTGAAGAATTTCGTGAGGTCGGGAGGGGTACCCCCGAACGACACGAGAACCTGCTTCCGGGTGGGGCCCTCGGAAGTAAAAGAGGGAACGGACCGATGAGGTGAAGTCTTCATCGGGCCTGTTGGAAATGCGGAGGGAGGAGGAGAAGGCCCACGAAGCTGCGGTCCCAAGCCAGGAGGCGGGGGAGGCATCGGAGCGGCCTGTTTGGCAATCCCTGCCCACGTCGTTGGACGGGGCTTGGGTTTAGTGGCGCGATTGATTGGCGGAGGCGGACCAGGGCGAGAGTAGGCCACCTTACTCTTCTTCTGAGGAGGAGGTGGGACCGGATGATCAACACCCTTGCGCTTCTTGGAAGCGGGGATGCGAGGAGGGGAGGCCGGACGACCGAGGTCGTCCAAAGCCTGCATGAGGACGTCGGGCGGGGCCCCTACGCCAGCGACACCCTCATCGAGCGGCCCATGGGCAGCAGGAGGAGGAGGCCTGAATACGGGAGCCGGGTGAATGGTCGGCTCATCCTTAGAAGACGTCTCAGCCTCGAGGAGAGAGGCGAGTGAGAAGTTGTCGAGTTCGCCTGGCCCGCAAATATGACTAAAGTCAGTGGCCATGACGGCATTCACAAAGGACGTCATCTGGGCCACAAAGGCATCACCCCCATCGATGGTGAGCGGATTGTGGTGCGTGGCCCGCAGAACCCAGTCTGTGGCCTTCGCAATGGAGGTGGTCAATACCTCGAGATCGCCAGGAAGATCCTCGACTGTGTCTTGGAACTTCAAGGCGTATTGACCTAAGAGTAGGTCGACGGAGGGGTCCCTCGAGACCTCCTCCCCTCCCTGAGTGCCCTCAACCTCCATCTCCTGGGGGTGGGCCATCCCTGAGTCAGACTCATCTGTGGACGAATGGGCGGAACCCGTGGTGGAACGGGACCTGTGGCAGGGCAACGTGTGGCGAGATCGAGACGGCACAACTGTCGAGTATGTGGCCCTAGTCGAGGTAGGGTCTGGCGAGATTGGTGAGGCATCACCGCCCAGGGGCGATGAGCCAGCAACCGATGGTGGTATTGCTGGTGGTGCGGAGCCTGAGTCCCCCCCACGACGGCTTCTAGGAACTGCCCCAGGGGGCCTCGCACCCCAACCTCTCGGTGGGAGGTCGGACATGTGTTGCTTGTGCAGTACAAATGATCAGGTGATGAGGTCTGACGAGGCGATAAAGCATTGGACGACGAAAGAGACGATGAGCTGGTTGTTTACACTTGTTGGCAAGTGGGCATTCGAGAGAAAGAGGTGTCGTCCGTACCTCGGTTCACGCTGAGGTCTTCGCATATCTGAGCACCAAGCCTCAGATCGACCGCAATTCGGCGCACTCGACATCGTGCACAGTCTATTGCAATATTTGGGACTCCCAGCAGGGAACCCGCGCCAAGAAGGCCCTTGGCCAACCGATCTTCCTTGCCGGGCAGTCCTGCACAATCAGGCCAGCTGCACGACACACCGGGGTCCCGCTCTGCCAGCGCTGCTGGAAGTGGGGCCATCCTACTGTTGCCTGCAAGGTGAAACAGCTCTCTTGCCCTATCTGTTCGGGTCCGCACGAGCAGAAGGAGCATCTTTTTTTTTTTTTTTTTTTTTTTTTTATCAACAATCGATATAGCCGTGCTCGATGGCAGCCCGCTTGCTATCTACAAACACGTACACTACGCAGCCTGGGTACTAAGTTAACTACTAAAAGACATCTGCCCCCCCAACCACAAGCCTTATGGCTCAAACACCTAAACTCCCATAAAGCCAGACCCACCTTGCAAAAACGGTGATGCAGGATAAGGGGAAGAGACCATTGAGGCCCCGCTAAACCCCAAAGCCATCGGACACTGTTCAGAGGCCACGCAGCGCAAATGAGATAAAACAGCACCACCCGGGAGGTGGCAAGGTGTCTTGAGGCCGACTAGCCAGAGAAGCACCTGCCCGAAACCAGACGCAGAACATTAGCGGCGCCGCAACCCGCTATACTAGCGGACCGCGAGCGCAAAAGAATAGCGGTGGGCGCAGGTCTCCGACCCCTAGGGTCCGAAATCCTCCAAAAGGAGGAATAACCCCGCCCACAGCGATTATGCGACAGGTCCCGGTTGAAGCCAAACGCCGTAGGGTTGTACTTCAAAAAAGATGCAATATCCCCAAGAAAGCGGGGGTAATGCACAGAGTAGCAATCGCGACAGCGAAAGAGAATATGCTGGCGAGACTGCAAAGCAGCCCCGCAAGTGCAGCCTTGAGGCTCATTGATCTTGAAGCGACGATAATACGCTCCAATGGGCATGTGGCCAGTTATACACCGGCAAACGCAGGCGAACTCAGTGATACTGTGTCCGATGGTTGAAAGCCAAGGTCCCCCATTGAGGTACGATGGCTGTAGCAGCTGCCCGTCAGGCTGTTGAAGCTCTAAGAATTCAGAGCCTCGGTAAGTTGGGCGAGATGGGGAGGCTGGGCGGCCAAGGTCGTCCAAAGCCCGCATGAGGATGTCGGGAGGAGCCCCTACGTCAACGACACCCTTGTCAAGCGGCCCATAGGCAGCACGAGGAGGAGGCCTGAATACAGGAGCCGGGTGGATGGTCGGCTCATCCTTGGAAGATGTCTCGGCCTCAAGGAGAGAGGCGAGCGAAAAGTTGTCGAGTTCTGTTGCAGCCCTGGCAACCAAGGAAGGCATTGAAGCTTTAGCCGATGCTATCGCGACAGCATTCTCGGACGCATGGCTTGCCCATTTGACCGAGTCCAAACCTACCAAGCGCTCCAAGTCCTGGTGGACGGACGAGTGCTCGGAGACATTCGGAGTATATCAGTTGAGCCGCTCGCTCGCTGATTATAACAAGTTTAAGAAGGCGTGTAAGGACGCCAAACGTAATTTCTTTGATGAACGTAGCGCAGAAATCGCTACTTCTCGCAAGCGCCCATGGGACCTGATGGAATGGGTCAAACAGCGCAAGCTACCACCCTGTGAGGCTATTCGCGATGGCAACCAGCCTTGCCACAATATGGACGACCTATGGGACACCCTTCACAGCATGTACAATTTGGCCTCTGGTCGCGAGTACGACGCCTCAGTCTTAGATGAGCTTCCTGACGAGCCGGTCCGTGAGTGGGCTGACTTCTCAGAGCATGAGTTGTTGAGTGCCCTTAAGGGGTGCTCCAACTCCTCTGCACCAGGACCGGACCATGTTACGTGGGTCCACCTAAAGGAGTTGCTCAAGGATAAACATGTCCTTGCGCTCTTCATCGTGTTGGCCAATGCTTGCCTCCGGGGGGGCCATTGGCCTTGTATATTCAAGGAGTCGCTATCGTCCCGAAGCCGAATAAGCCCTCCTATGCTGTGCCAAAGGCTTTTAGGCTGATCGTACTCCTTATCACTTTCAGTAAACTTATCGAAAAGATGATCAATAGGATACAGTTTGATGCTGTCAAGCATGATATCTTCCATCCCAACCAACTTGGCAGCATCCGCCAGAGGTCAACTGAGGATGCTGGATTGATTCTGACTCATCTCATGCGAGCAGGGTGGGTTAAGGGTCTCCAGACTAGCGCGCTGGCTTTTGACATCACGCAGTTCTTCCCTTCTATCAACCATGAGATGTTCATGGCTGTACTTCGCAAGCAAGGGTTCTCACCGGTTCTGGTGGAGTTCTTTACCTTCCAATCCGACTCGCGGTCTGCGGATGTGGGTGTCAGGCAGGGCTCTGCTCTCTCGCCTGTTATCTCTGGGCTGTTCATTGCTCCGGTAATGAAGCTCTTCTACATCAAGGCGGCGCCGCTCAATATGACGCTGCTTTCTCTTGTGGATGATGGGACCATTCTGGCCCAGTCCAAACAACTTGATGATAATAATGTGGGCCTGCGTAAGGCCTACAAAATTATCTACCTGCTCTTTGTTGCTTTCGTGCTCGTTCTTGAACAGGACAAGACCGAGTTGTTCCACTTTTCGTGTCGACGAGACACTTACAATCCCTCGCTGCATTTGGGGTACGCCCCGCATACCGGCACTACTCCTTTGAAGCCCAAGACCTATTGGAGGTACTTGGGCTTCTACTTTGACCGTGGGCTCACGTTTCATGAGCACGTTCGCTACTACACCACCAAGGCGTTTACCACCGTGCAGGCCATGCGCATGCTCGGGAACTCTACTAGAGGGCTCTCGCCTAAACAGAGCCGCCTCTTATATAGGTCGTGTGTGGTTCCCATTGCGACATATGGCTATCGTCTATGGTATTTTGATGGCGCCCGCAATAAGGGCGCAATGAACCAGTTAAAACGGATGCAGCGAAAAGCTGCTCTATGGATCACAGGTGCTTTCCGCACCTCCCCCACTGGCGGTCTTGAGGCTCCAGCGGATCTCATTCCTGTCCACCTTATGCTGAAGAAGCTGGCAACATGTGCAGTGTATCGCGTCGCCACCCTCTCGGACACCCACCCTCTTTGCTCCATGATGGGTGAGGGACTCCTCAAGCGAGCTGCACCACATGCTCGCTCAGCCGCCTTGATGACCCCAGCCATGCGAGGGAAAGTCAAGAGCACTGTCATGGAGGTGGACGAGCGCGTCCACACCTTAACTGAGAGCTTTGAGCCCTTTGCGCCCAAAGCTCGCCCAGGCGATCAGTTACTGGACCGCTATGCAGACCGTCTCCATTTTGACGAGCGCGATCATGCCCAGGATAGGCGCCCGTACCTTGACGAGCTCATTGTGAAAGCGAGGGCCGACCCACTAACAGTACTGGCTGCAACTGATGGCTCTGTCCCTCAGTCCAACCAGTATCAGGCGACTTCGGCTGCCATAATCTACAAGGGACATCGCGAGCTCGAAAGGACTTGTTATGTCTCTGGCAGGGTTACCGCCCCAGATGCGGAACTCAATGCCATCTTGTGTGCAGTGCGCCTGGCTGTTAAGCAGGCAAACTGCCAACATATTATGGTCTTTACTGACTCCATGGGCTCGGCCCATAGAGCGATCGACCCTGGCGTGCACTCTGGTCAGGCTTTTAGCTTGTCAGTTTGTCGCGCTCTCCAAGAGTGGTTTGAGGCGGATGATCTCCGCCGCGTTACCTTCGTCTACGTCCCATCCGCTTTGTGGTGGGACATCCATGGTGAGGCACACAAGTACGTCACCGAACTTAAAGTCAGGGTTGGACGTTGCAAGACGGACAACTCTATAGACGCGCTTCGCTCCTGGGCAGCGCACTCAGTCCTGGATTCGTGGAACTCCACTTTCCAGGATCCAACCTACCGAGGCTCTGAATTCTTAGAGCTTCAACAGCCTGATGGGCAGCCGCTACAGCCATTGTACCTCAATGGGGGACCTTGGCTTTCAACCATCGGACACAGTATCACTGAGTTCACCTGTGTTTGCCGGTGTATAACTGGCCACATGCCCATTGGAGCGTATTATCGTCGCTTCAAGATCAATGAGCCTCACGGCTGCACTTGCGGGGCTGCTTTGCAGTCTCGCCAGCATATTCTCTTTCGCTGTCGCGATTGCTACTCTGTGCATTACCCCCGCTTTCTTGGGGATATTGCATCTTTTTTGAAGTACAACCCTACGGCGTTTGGCTTCAACCGGGACCTGTCACATAATCGCTGTGGGCGGGGTTATTCCTCCTTTTGGAGGATTTCGGACCCTAGGGGTCGGAGACCTGCGCCCACCGCTATTCTTTTGCGCTCGCGGTCCGCTAGTATAGCGGGTTGCGGCGCCGCTAANNNTTTCGGGCAGGTGCTTCTCTGGCTAGTCTGCCTCAAGACACCTTGCCACCTCCCGGGTGGTGCTGTTTTATCTCATTTGCGCTGCGTGGCCTCTGAACAGTGTCCGATGGCTTTGGGGTTTAGCGGGGCCTCAATGGTCTCTTCCCCTTATCCCGCATCACCGTTTTCGCAAGGTGGGTCTGGCTTTATGGGAGTTTAGGTGTTTGAGCCATAAGGCTTGTGGTTGGGGGGGCAGATGTCTTTTAGTAGTTAACTTAGTACCCAGGCTGCGTAGTGTACGTGTTTGTAGATAGCAAGCGGGCTGCCATCGAGCACGGCTATATCGATTTG